TTCTTTTGGTCGTTCGTAGCCTCTGTGTCGTTGTGCTGCTCCGCCTTGGTGGGGTTAGGCGGTGTCCCGGGCCGTCCCGGACTTGTCCGTGTGGCGGGGTCGGACCCCCACCCCTGTATTTTTTTTCGGGGGTGCCGGGCGCGCCATCTGGTTTTTGCCGTTGTGATTTGTGTTTTCTACATGTACTGGTGGTGGTTGCGCTTTTGTTTGCGGCACCGTGTGTTGCGCTCTGGGTGTGGGCCTCTGCCTCTGTATATGGGTGGTGTGTTTCCTTTCTTTTTTTTTTTTTTATTGGCAATGCTGTGGGAGAATGAGGGTGGGCGATCCGGCATTCTGAGGGAAGAATAAAATAATAATAATAAGGATAAATAAAGAGGTAATATGTGTGTGTGAGAGAGAGTAATTGTGTCTTTTGTGTCTGTTTGTAAAGATTGACATGGTTCAGTAGAAAAACAAGTTAAAAACAAATGATAATTGACAGCGTTGCGTGAAATCTCAATATACAAAATTTAACATAAAAGAAACAAAAACAAAACATCTCACTTGGATTTTTATAAACATTTACACAGGCTGCGTGGTTGGGTTTTTTTACATGTAATTCAAATCAATTCTTTTTTTTTCTTATACATCATATCTCCTCATTTAACTTGATATTTGGAAGGAAAGGTTATTTTCGAAATCTCTTTCAGTAAACACCACTGCTACCCATGAGGGGTGTGAATGGGGGAAAGAGGGATTTGCCACCAGTGTAGAATACGAAAATTAATAAAAAAATCACGAGAGTCTGATTAGCGGACATATATTTTTTTCTTTCTACTTTCTCTACGAATAACAATAACATCAATGAGAAAAGTTACCCGAGTGAAGTATATGAAATTAAAGTTTTTTTCGGAAGTATAGAGTACCAAAAAGAATGCCCAAAAGGCACCAAGGCAAAGAAAAGAGCTGCTCCTGTTATTATTATTGGTGGTGCAAAATGATCAGAGCATTTTATTTTTTTTTGTTTTCTTCTCCTTGGGAAACCGTTTATGCTTATTATGCGTATATACCAGTTGAGATATCTCTCTTATGTGCGTTTTTTCGGAAGGTGTGCTACATCAAGGTGTGCACTACTCGGGTCCGCACAGGGATCTCGCAACTCTTTAAAATTCTTTTGCCGTCTCTCTTCTTCCAGTCGCAGTTGTTCTCCCAGTCTCTGTTGCTGTCGCGATGTGCTTTTCATGTTACTTACCAT